GGAAGAGTCCATGGGAAAGGCAGCAAGAAAGAGCTGCTGGTAAGACCGAGAAGCCTTGGCAGGAGGAACAGGCTCGAAAACCTCCGTCCCCAACCCGAACAGGGCAGCCCCCGAAAACCGCCCGAGTCTCGGCCCCAACTAAACCCTGCTCCGACCCCAAAACCCGCAGACGGTTCGGAGCCGGGAACAGGGAGGGAAAGGGGCGAACAGCACCTAACCAAAACGCGGCGGCCCCGGGGCATCCGGGTGAGAAACCAACCTAGCTTGCAACACGGATGTCGCCTGTACTCTGAACAGTAATAACATCAGGAGAGTACTGGAGAACAAGCAGAGAATCTCTCTCTCTCGCAAGACTCTGGGTCAAGGTATCAGTGACCCAACAGGCAGCATGACGGAGGTAAAAGTGGCGACTGTCACCCGGACACAAGGGCACAGCAACCAACGATCCTGTACAAGACAGATTGGAACGCGGAAGACACATTCAATGGTCCACCGAGCCCAGACAGGGGTTTCCAGGGCCCCGTAGGCTGACTGCAATGGGAAGCCCGGGCAAGGTGTTGCTAACCGGTTAAGAAACCCAAAAATAACAAGGGGGTAGAGGACAACACTAAAACCCCCTGCGACATGTACAATCACAGGGGCCTAGCAGAGGGCCACCAAACACTACCAGTGGAACTATGGCCACACTGGGCAGACCCCCACCAGAAAAATGAAAATAAAAACCCCGCAAAAGTATACCGTTTCCAGAGGCAACAGGAACCAGTCGCTGCTTAGGTGGCAGGTCGCGCAACACCTTGATGCCCTAACCAGTACAATACCAGTCCCTTCCCAGGGCCAAACAAGGGTCCCAAGCCCCACCTGGCGCCAAGGGTGAGGCAAATGCCGAGCAGCAAGAACCTTTATGGAAATGGTTCCCAAACACCCCAGGGAAGATAACCCTGACACGCAGGGGCAGTACTCACAGGGCGCTTAGGGAAGTCAGCCACTAAGCGCATGCAGCCCCGGCACTGATGAGGTACTCTTGGCCACTGCACAAGACAACACACGGCAGTGAACGCCACACAAGGCAAACACCACCTAGGAAACTGAGGCCAGAGAAGCGTCTATCCCGGTTGACATTAGCTTACGAACTGATGCTAGGCAGCCGGCTCGGTAGGTCCGGGGTTCCTTTTCCCCTCTCGGGACGGGGAGGGCTGCGCGGACGCTCGGCGTGGCAGTAAAGTGTGATGTTTGCTTGTTTGCTTGTTTTCTTGGGATTGTAGAGAGTTTCTACCTCTCAGTTCGATTTTTGTTTTAGTCTTTTACCATGTGGGGTTTGTTTTGTTATGCTTACCTTTCTGGGTGCCTAACCCCGGTCGATGGCAGATAAGGAAAACCCCAACCACAAGGGGGTTTTCTAGGGCTAATGCTCCCTGAAACCTCTCTGAAGGGGCCAGGTTCTGGCACTGGTCCCTGGTAGGTCTGAACTCCTTAGCTAATGTCCCGGTCTAATATAACATACATTAGTCCGATAAGCTCCAGGGAGCCGTAGGGGCTTCCCACAAAAAAATGAGGAAACCAGAACTTTCCAGTGAGGAAAAGAATGAAGAATATTCTCTCCAAGAAGAAAACCCTGGAAGGATATCCCAAGAGCAACACAAACCCAAAGGACACCAGGAACACCTACCAAGAAACAAGCCACAAAGACCTTGTTAGATCTCTTAAACCCAGGAACTGGAGATCAGCCAAAGACATTAGGAAAGTTGTCAGTCAAAGCTGTGAACTGTTGAACATCATAGGCCCAAGGCAGCCTGCTGTCTGACTAGAGTTAAAGACCCTATGAACAACCTGAGACAAATGAACATCAGAACAGGGAATCAAGGAAAGAGGATCAACGGCCAGTGAATTCCCCAAAATAGTGTAGATGGTGAGAAGGTAGCTTACAAAGCTAGCCACAACTGGCCACAGAAAAATTATGTACATTCAACCTAACAAATAAGTTAATACCTTAAGGAGTTGGCAACTCCAGAAGACAACTGTTCCATTCCCTGCCAGAAAATTAAGGAGGTTGCAAATGAAGAAACCGCCCAACCAAGTAAATGGAACAGAATTCCTCTTCCAGAAGAGAGCATGAAGCTCCCATCAGTCTGAAAACCGGACGTGAGGGCAAACATAAACAAAGCCATGAAATAGATAACATGGACTGAAGGGGCAACTGAAAAGGGTCAAACTACTGGCACGATACAGACTACAACCAACAAAGACAGACAAAAAGATGAAAGAGAGCAACAAGAAATGTTATACTAGAGCCATGACGAAGGATGCATATGGGATACTAACAACTCTGCCACCTATACACAGTACAAATGATGAAAGACCCACATCAAAAACTCTAGATGTGAAGACCAGAGGAGTATGATGAACCAGCAAGGATGCTGCCTGACTGACCTGCTGAAAAATGCAGAGATGCAGAATAACTATAACTCATGTTTCAGACACCAGGCAAGGAGTGACAGAAACCAAGGCTGAGCAGCCACTAAGGAGCTGGAAGGATCACCTTGCCAATGAAAGAGTCCAATCTGGACAAAACTTGGAGTAACAACTGAAATGGAGGAAAAGATAAATGAACCCAACCTCGATCAGTCCAGTAAAGAGACATGCCCCACAAGAACCTCATGCTCGGGGAATGGAGCCACACAAGATGTAAGCCACCAGTTCCACAGAGGCATGAAGAGGGCCATCTTGCAGAGCCACATGTTATCCCTGCACATGCATCTATCTTGTGGAGAACAAAACTCTGAGAATCTAGATGCAGAACCACCCTCAAAGTACATCTCCAAAGAGGAAAGGACTGAAGTGACCCCCCTCTTATCACTGCAGTTTCAGCCAATGCACAACAGAGCAGATGGAATGGTGCCATAGAATATAGCCCAGAAGAAGAATCCTCCACATGTCTTGTTACACTGCCACAAATGTGTGCACTGTACTGTGTGCTCAAAGAAGGGAACAGCAGCCAAGGAACCAAGCCCAAAAATCAACAGAGGAAAAGGAATATCCACCACCTGAACTGAAACCCTTCCCACCCTACAGAGGTAACCAGAAACCAGGAAAGATTGAAGGGCACCTAGGGACCCATCTTGAGTTCTTCCCCAGTCCCTGAAGTCTGAAATGAGGACCCCAGGGCAGGGACAAGTTTCACATATGGTGGCTGAACAGATAGGAAGGCAACACCAAACTTTGAGATCAGAACCAAATACACCCCTTTATTCCACGTAAAACTGGAAAGCTATGAATATTCAGCAGGAAGCAACAGTTCAATTGACTCCGGTGTCGATGTGAAAGAGGCAATCCCTGGAGAAGGCCAAGCAACATCCACAGCTAATTACAGCCAAGACTCTGAAACCCTAAGACATCCCAGAGCCCAGTGCAAGTGGAGAGGAACACCAGCCTCTCCAAATTCATGTCATAAAAACATATGAGAGCTGATTCCAGCCAACACTTGAGCACCAAGTCACCAAAGTCAAAACTGATGTACAAACCTGAAGCTGCTGCTGCTGTCTGTGAAGCCTCGTCACTACAAAAATATAAAGCAAAACCAAAAGATGGTTTTACCAAAAATAGAGGTCAACAGAACTCAAAAGTCACAGGACTCAGGGTAGAGGATAATGCCCACCCAACAGGCATAGAGGAAGACTACAAATGATAATTGTTTGTGGCAAAACCAACTGACCTCCTTTAAACTCTCAATTAGTAAGTATGGTGGGTTGATTCATATCGAGCCATGCAAAAGACCCCACAGGACGTCCCAAGGCCTGCAGGTAAAGACCAAACACAATACCTAGACACCAAAGACAGTTACTGAAAAAAATTACATCAAATGCAGCCTTGAGGAAAAACACAGCAACAAAGGGTGTCAATGGCAAGTCATATGTACAAGCATGTAAACACTAAACCAAAGAGCCGAAGTTCAACCCCCACAATACCCCTGAATCAACCAGTGAGTCTCACAGACAAGTAACTGACCTTTGTACTTTTCTGGATGAGGCATCCTATACTGAAGTCTGGCCTCTCTGGAATGAACACCTGAACACACACACATGCAAGTCAAAACTAATCTTGAAGTGATATACAAGCAAATAGGCACCCCAACAGTATAGAATCCAAAGGATGGCCAATGTTCATCTAGAAATAGTTGAGGGGCCCCATAAGGCTGACCACTGAAGGAGTGGTCCACACAGGAGGACATCAGGTAAAGGATTGAAGAGTGTTGACATGAGAACCAGCAGCTCCCATGGTGCTGGCACCTGGTAGTGGCCAGCTGTAACCAGGGAAGTTCAAATTAACAACCGGGAGGATTGTTCGCCAAGTCATTTGCTGCTCCATTTCTCTCTTCTCTGTGAACCTTACAGTCGTCTGTTATGCTTTGCTTACTTTCTGGATGTTTGCATGGTGAGGGTGATCATAAAGTTCCCAATGATCAGGAGATTCAATGAGGTGAGGGAGCATGGTTCTGACTCTGGTCTGCAGTAAGCTATCAAGATCTCCTGGGAAAGACATGACATGCATATGGAGATATCTAAGTGCAGCTAGCTTAAGGCAGCCATCATTCAATTCCTCCAGAAAATGCATTTATACTAATGATAATAAGAAAATGGAAGGGATAAGTAAAACAAATATAGACCACCTTCCTTGAGGTTATCTTGAGATGATTTCAGGGCTTTAGTGTCCCCGCGGCCCGGTCCTCGACCAGGCCTCCACCCCCAGGAAGCAGCCCGTGACAGCTGACTAACTCCCAGGTACCTATTTACTGCTAGGTAACAGGGGCATTCAGGGTGAAAGAAACTTTGCCCATTTTGTTTCTGCCTCGTGAGGGAATCGAACCCGCGCCACAGAATTGCGAGTCCTGCGCGCTATCCACTAGGCTACGAGGCCCCTAAAATGTGGAAATTTCCACCTTATGTGGAAAATAGCTACATTACACAGAAAACAACTTCATGCAACATATTAATCATATGACTGACCTGGCCACCATTGACTGCAGCACCCAGGTCACCTTGCACCATTTCAGCTGGCACAAAACTGATGTTGTCGCCTTCTTGCACAACAACATACGTCTGACCAGAACCAGTAACCACGCCTGTAATACAAAGTTCATACACTAACTTCCATGAAAACTTAGGAAGCCATAACAATGCAATATGTTAAGACATTAATAGATAGGAAAATACAAGTTGTCCACATTGTCTACCAAATTAGCATTTTCTACATAGAAATCATATTCATTCTCTTCTTTCTTTCCTCTGGAGTTGTTAAGATTCCTTTAACCTGAGCTACAAGCTTATTTTTATGAATTCAGCCACTGTACTAATAATCTAGTTGCAAATTTTAACACTTTTTTGTTTCCATTTGAGCTTTACCATGCGTGGATTTCACGTAAGTGTTTCACATTCTAGTACTGGTTCTACATAGTCTGCAAATTGTCAAGATCTGAAACAGATCAATGAAAATAAGCAAATGATCACATTTAATTTGTGGGGTGGAAAAGTTAACATTGTGGATTGAGAACAAGAATCTTCGTCGAAAATCAATCGGCCTGATGCTCGTAAAGGTGAGAGCAAGAAGTCTTTTTGATGATTTACAGAAGAAAAAGATGTGAAACAGAGTGATCAAATATTGGTGTCGAGTCATGGGTAAATTGACAAGATACAAGCATAGAGCAAATTTACACATGTAAACGTGAGTGGAGAGGCTGCTAGTGTAGACGAGAAGGACCAGCTGAATTTGTTCCAAAATTGGCCAAAATTATTGAAGATGGAACCTATAGGGCATGTCAAGTGTTTAATGTTGATGCGGAAGATGGCGCACCATGGGAGGGTCACTTGTGAAAGCTGCACAATACTAGGATTAACCTACTCATGAAATACTCCAGCAATTCCATGTTTATCATGTTACCCACAATTTTGGTCAATAAATTAAGAACCCTTTCTTTGGAGAGCCTCTTCAGCTCCCTGAAGCTATACTGGGCTGATGTGCATATTTTAGACTGTGGCAACAATCGATGGAGTTCTAGGCCTACCAGACACTAGCACCAGAACCTGGCATCCTCCGAGAGGTACGAGGAGCAATGGCCTATAGACACCCCCGTGTAATTGGAAGCAGTTTATGTCTGCCATCTACCAGGTCAGGCACCCAGAAAGGTAGGAATTCCAAAACAAACTACAGCTGGTTAAAAAATTGAAAACCGAAAGTCAAACTAGCAGGCATAACTTCCCCAATCAAAAACAAGCAAGATGTCACAACAGCTGCTGCACTGCTGTCTGCACAACTTCCCCCTCCCTGGGAGGGGAAAGGGGGGGTCCTAGACCTCCCACATTGGCTAGCCAACCCCAATTCACAGCCTGTTGTGATAGTGGCAGTTGATCGCCTCTAGCTCCATCCTTTTGTGTAGTGCTGTGTAGAGCATACATGTGCTGTGCTACATACCTGCTTGATGGGGTTCTGGGAGTTCTTCTACTCCCCAAGCCTGGCCAACAGTCCAGTTTTCTCTTGGAGATGTCCATGGTTGTTCCGGCAATATTTCTTATAGTCGCTGGGAGGACGTTGAACAACCGCGGACCTCTGATGTTTATACAGTGTTCTCTGATTGTGCCTATGGCACCTCTGCTCTTCACTGGTTCAATCTTGCATTTTCTTCCATATCGTTCACTCCAGTATGTTGTTATTTTACTGTGTAGATTTGGGACCTGACCCTCCAGTATTTTCCATGTGTATATTATTTGGTACAGGTATCTCTCTCGTCTCCTTTCTAGAGAGTACATTTGGAGAGCTTTGACACAGTTCCAATAGTTTAGGCGTTTTATCTCGTCTATGCGTGCCATATATGTTCTCTGTATTCCTTCTATTTTAGCAATCTCAACTGCTCTGAAGGGGGAAGTGAGTACTGAGCAGTACTCGAGACGGGACAGCACAAGTGATTTGAAGAGTACAACCATTGTGAAGGGATCCCTGGATTTGAAAGTTCTTGTAATCCATCCTATCATTTTTCTGGCTGACGCAATATTTGCTTGGTTGTGCTCCTTAAACGTTAGATCGTCGGACATTATTATTCCCAAATCCTTGACAAGCTGTTTTTCTACTATGGGAAGATTCGATTGTGTTTTGTACCCTGTATTATGTTTCAGATCCTCATTTTTGCCGTACCTGAGTACCTGAAATTTATCACTGTTAAACATCATGTTATTTTCTGCTGCCCAATCGAAAACTTTGTTGACATCTGCAAGTAATTTTTCAATGTCTTCAGCAGAGGTTATTTTTCATGCTGATTTTTGTGTCATCTGCAAAGGATGACACAAAGCTGTGACATGTATTTTTATCTGTATCTGATATGAGAATAAGGATCAGCAGTGGTGCAAGAACTGTACCTTGAGGTACAGAGCTTTTAACATCACTTTGACTCGATTTTATTTGATTGATTGTTACTCTTTGTGTTCTGTTCGACAGGAAATTGAGTATCCAGCGTCCTACTTTTCCAGTTATTCCCATTGACCTCATTTTGTGTGCTATCATCCCATGGTCACATTTGTCGAACGCCTTTGCAAAGTCTGTGTATACAACATCTGCACTTTGCTTTTCTTCTAGAGCTTCTGTGATTTTATCATAGTGGTTGAGTAACTGTGACAGACAGGATCTTCCCGCTCTAAATCCATGTTGTCCTGGCTTGTGCATCTCATTGTTTTCCATAAAACTAGAAATTTGATTCCTAATCACTCTTTCAAACACTTTTATTATGTGTGATATTAGTGCAACTGGCCTATAATTTTTTGCCAAGGCTTTACTCACCCTCTTGTGCAACGGAGCTATATTTGCAGATTTAAGTGCTGCTGGTATCTCCACTGTATCCAGGCTCTTTCTCCATATTACGCTGAGTGCTCTCGCTACTGGTACTTTACATTTCTTTATGAATATTGAATTCCATGAGTCAGGCCCAGGAGCTGAGTGCATAGGCATATTATCAATTTCTCTTTCAAAGTCTTCGAAGTTTGTGGTAATATCCGTTATATTACCTGCAGCTTGAATGTCATTCATAAAGAAGCTGTCTGGATCATCAACTTTCATGTTGTTTATTGGTGTGCTAAACAAAGCCTCATACTGGGTTCTTAGAATTTCACTAATCTCTTTGTTGTCCTTTGTGTACGTACCTTCATTTGTAATTAACGGTCCAATACTGGTCGAGGTTTTTGATTTTGATTTTGCGTATGTGAAAAAATATTTAGGATTTTTCTTTATCTCTTGTATAGCTTTCTGTTCCAATTCCATTTCCTCAGACTCATATGTTCGCTTCAACGTTTGTTCTATTTCTTCGATCTCCCTGCTTAGGTTTATTTTCCTTGCTTGTGATAGTTGTGTCTGCTGAAGCATCTTCTTGAGGTTATCTTGAGATGATTTCGGGGCATTTTAGTGTCCCCGCAGCCCGGTCCTCGACCAGGCCTCCACCCCCAGGAAGCAGCCAGTGACAGCTGACTAACACTCAGGTACCTATTTTACTGCTAGGTAACAGGGGCATAGGGTGAAAGAAACTCTGCCCATTGTTTCTCGCCGGTGCCTGGGATCGAACCCGGGACCACAGGATCACAACTCCCGCGTGCTGTCCGCTCGGCCGACCGGTTGGTTCAGTCAGGGGTGCATAATGTTTTATGTCCGGTTGCAGCTCTTCATCGTTACTTGCGTGCTATGGCCTCAGTGGCAGGGTATGTATGCACTTTGGGTTGACCCAGTTTCCTTTCTTCCCTGTTCCAGGGCATGGGTCTCCCAGATCATCTGCAGGATTATTCAATCCAGCCAGTCAGCGGTCTATCCCAGTGCCGACAACATTCGTAAGTTCGCGGCTTTCACTGCTGTTTGTGGTAATATGTCCTGGGCTGACATTCGGGCATGGGGCTTTTGGAGGTCGAACAGGGTCTTGGCTGCACGATACCTCGTTAATGTTCCTGGCCTTTCTCGGGCATGTGTAATCTTGGGTCGCAGGTTACAGCCAGTTGTCTCGACTTCGAATTGAGGAGCGAGTGGCGGCCGCCTCCTGGGTAAGTCCCTCTTTTTCTTTATCTTTGGTTAGGCAGCCCTGGGGAGCCGAAGGGACTCTCCACAGAAAATCAGCGTTGAATGTAATGAAACATAATTTTCAGGGTGAGACCTGGAGGCTCCCCAGCATCCCTCCCTCCCTCCCGTCGGCGTTTTTTTTTTTCACGTTTTTTACATTCGGCCTGAATTAGGGTTGGGTAGCTGACGCGGGAGATCTGGGACCCCCTCCCAAGGAGGGGGGGGGAGTTACACAGACAGCAGCAAGGCAGCTGTGGTGACATCATGCTTGTTTGCTTGTTTTTGATTGGGGAGTTCAGCTTCGGGTTGCAATATTTTAACTAGCTGTAGTTTGTTTTGGAACTCCTACCTTTCTGGGTGCCTTACCTGGTAGATGGCAGACATAGTGACTGCTTCCAATTACATGGGGGTGTCTATAGGCCATTGCTCCTCATGCCTCCCTGAGGGGGGGGGGGGCCAGGTTCTGGTGCTGGTCCCCAGTAGGCCTAGAACTCCATTGATTGACTGTTGTCATGGTCTAATATATACACATCAGCCCGGTATAACTCCGGGAAGCCTCCGGGTTTCACCCAGAAAATGGCATTTTATTACATTCAATGCTGTTTTTTTTTTACAAACCAGTGTTTACCCAGGTCTTTCCTATATCTATGCTTGTCCAATTTATATCCATTGTTTTGTATTCTATTTTGTGTTAACATATTATATAACTTATATATAACTTTCAAATACTTCAATCATGTCAACCTTTACTCTTCATATATCCTGAGAATGAAAATAAAGTTCTTTTAATTCCTCTTCGTACTTGAGCTTTCTAAACTACAGGGATTAACTTTGTCATCCTTCTCTGTACACAATCAAATAAAATTATGTCCATTATATGGTACAGACCCCAAAGCTGAATTACATAATTAAAATGGAGCCAAACAAGAGAAAGATAAAGCTGAAGAATAGGAGAAAAATATTGAAATAAAAAACATGTTGGATATATAGAGTGGCACTATATACATGAGCAAAGAAAGCTAACAATCAATATGACAAACC